TGTGTGTGTGTGTGTGTGTGTGTGTGTGTGTGTGTGTGTGTGTGTGTTTTGCTTACACTTGTGTGATGGGGCCAGAGATTAGCATTGGGGTTATCATTCACTTCTCCACTGTAGTTTTTGAGACAAGGTCTCTCAGTGAACTTGGAACTTGTCATTTGTGGTAAGATTGGGCAGACCTCAAGCCCCCTGGAGTACAGGTGTTCACCATGAGTGTTTTGTGAACAGGAATCTGAAGTCAGATCCTCGTGCTTACTCAGCGCTTAGCCTACCACGCCATCTTTCCAGTTCCCTTTTTGATTTATTTTGTAAGACAGGGTCTTGCTGAATTGCTCAGGGTTGCCTCAAGGCTGTGATCATTCTGTGTCAGCCTCCCAAGTCGCTAGGATTACATGGAGACAGCTAAAAAGCTTTTCTTTTGAGATAGGGTCTCATTGTATAGCTCTGGCTGGCCTGGAATTTGGTAATGTAAACAAGGCTGGCCTCAAACTGACTGAGATCACCCACATCTGCTAGAATATGCCCAGCCATTTTTGCCTTTTTTTTTTTTTTTGACAAGTTTCTCTATAGAAGGGCAGCATAGACTGCTCTAATTTTTGACTCTCTTCATTTCTGTCTTTGAAGCAGGGTTTCACTGTGTAGGCAGACTCTCAAGCCTCAGCCTTGCAATTCCTGGGACCACAGGCATGCATGCCATGCTTACAAGCATGTACCACCATGCCCCGCTCTAGTTTATTTACTTTTCACCCATTGAAGTAAAGGGGTGAATCTGTTTATCCTTAAAAATCATTTGACGTTCTCTGCTTTAATACTCCATGTTACTGCACACACACAAGTCTGTTGTGTGACTTGGCCCTTTCTCTTTCTGCACTAGCCTTTTGTTGTCTGACAGTGCAGATGCTATGCCCTCTTAGAATCATCTGCATGAGATGATTCAACATAAACAGTTCTTTTGTAATGAAAATGATTCATTAAATGGCCTTCCTAATACTCAGCTGTCTGAATTCCAAATTTGGGGGGAGGGGGTTGTTGTTGCTTTTTCCCAGTAAGTCCTGTTGGTTTCTTTTTATTTGTTTGGGTTTCTTTCTTTTCTTTTCTTTTCTTTTTTTTTTCTTTTTTCTTTTTCTTTTCTTTCTTTTTTTTTTTTTTTTTAGTATAGAATAGAGTTTATTCAGGGCATGGGGAGGGGAGTTAAGAGGGTAGTAGTGGCAGAGAGGACGGGTTTATTTCTTTGAGACAGGTCTTGTTGCATAACCCAGGGTGACCTTATACTTTTGATCCTCTTGGCTTGTCCTTTCAAATGCCAGAACTGTGTGCACCAACCATCTCATTTATTTCCTGTCAGTTTTGTCCTGTTTCATCCGAGATAGGGTTGCCCTGTATTGTTCAGACTGGCCTTAGATGTGCAGTCTCTCCCAGGTGCCAGTGTAATTCCAGAGTCACGGATGTGTGCTGCCATGCCGCCTTCTTGTTCTTTTCTGCACCCCTCATTACTTTTATTATATGTACAAAGGAAACAAGACCCTGTCACAGGAGAACAGAAGAACCTGCTGGTTACGGGATACAAATCCTTTCCATTAGCTTCTGTTACACTTAGGATTTTAGGCTCCACTTACTAGTATCAGGCTGGAATGTTTTTTTGTTTTTGTTTTTGCTTTGACCTCGTGTGTGCGTGTGTGTATATGTATGTGTGTGTGTGTGTGTGTGTGTGTGTGTGTGTGTGTGTGTGAGAGAGAGAGAGAGAGAGAGAGAGAGAGAGAGAGAGAGAGAATGTGTGTTGTTGTTGCTTACCAGTTTTATAAAAGATCATTTCAGTCTTTGTAGATTACAGTAGGAAGAGTTTTGAGTTTTGTTGTTGTACACTGCTGCAGACAGTACAGAAGTTCCTTCTATTCCTTCATGCTTTGATGGACCTGACCATCAGGGCCTGTTCTGAGGCTGTCTCTCCTTTGCTGGTGCCACATTGATGTGCAGCCAGAATGCAGATTGCTGCCTTCCCTCTGTAGGAGACATCTACTCCAGCTTGCTGTGCGAGTTGAGGTTGTTGGGGACCCTCATTTTCCATGCTGAATTGAAGCAAAGGATGAAAGCTGGGTTTTACTCATTGGTTTTAACCCATATTAGTTTTCATGTGAATAAAACAGGTGCATTATTGCTAGGCGGGGTCCATTATGGTCCTTCTCCAACAGGAAAGGGTCAGTTAGGACAGTAAGAGTTATTAAGTCCGAGTTTCCAGTTTTACCTCTGTTTACATTGTCAAACAGTGTGATTTTAAAAAAAGAACTCTGTGCTTCAGGTTAGGTTGGTTTTCTGCTAGTAGCCATGTGATCCTGTGCAAAGCACTTGAATTCTTGAGGTTTAGACCTTATCATCTAGTTTGGTAGAGAAATTGACTTAAGTTGATAGGATTTCTATTGCTGTGATAAAACACCAGCTCACAATGCATCATGAAGCAGAGCCTGGGGGTACTACTTGCTAGCTTGCTCTCATTCCCTGCTCAGCTAGGACCACCGACACAGGGATAGCATTGTACACAGTGAGCTTGGCTCTCCCACAGTCAAGAGGATGCACCACAGGCCAGTCTAGGAGCAGGGAAGGCATTTTCTCAATTGTGGTTCTCTAAAAATTAGTTTTATGCACCGGGCAGTGGTGGCACATGCCTTTAATCCAAGCACTTGAGAGGCAGAGGCAGGCGGATTTCTGAGTTTGCGGCCAGCCTGGTCTACAGAGTGAGTTCCGGGCTACACAGAGAAACCCCGGGGCGGGGGGGGGGGGGGGGGGATTAGTTTTATGCTGTGTCAAGTTTACATAAAACTAGTCAGCTAGGCCTGTGACCTTAAAAACATAAATGTTTAAATGATTAAAAAAAAAAAATTACCCACATTTGATATTTGTGAAATATAGTTGGAAATGTGAACACTCAGAAGATACTTGTTGATATTAAGACACTGTGTGCTTTCTTGTTGAGACATGCCCTCAAATATGTATTTCAGACTGGTCCCTATTTTAGCATTCTTCTGCAGCTTCCTAAGTACTGTGGTTACAGATACTTGTCCTTGTGCCTAACATTTGTTAAACATTTGTTAAACTCCTTATCTGTGACAATAATGTTTTACCTAATTTTGCTTTTGTTGTTTGAGAAAGGTCTTACTATATATAGCCCTGGCTGGCCTGGAACTCACTGTGTAGAGCAGGCTGGCCTCAAACTCAGAGACCTACCTCTGCCTTTTTTAAAAAAACAAAACAAAACAAAAAAACATGAATTCACCGTGCTGTCTTCACATCACATCCCATTACAGATGGTTGTGGTTGCTGGGAATTGAACTCAGGACCTCCGGAAGAGCAGTCAGTGCTCTTACCTGCTGAGCCATCTCTCCAGCCTCCTTACCTCTGCCTTCTAAGTGTTGGGATTAAAGAAAGGAACTGCTATGTTCAGCTTATTTAATGAAAAACAGTTCTTTTGGGGTGGGCATCGTCAGGTGCTTGCCTAGCATGCATGAAACCCTAAATATACCAAATGAATCAGGCAAGATGGTGAATGCCTGTAATAGCAGCATCCAGGAGATGGAGTCAGGAGACCTACCCTATGTCATCCTTAGCTGACCTGGACCAATGGGAACCTGTCTTAAAGTAGTTGTTGTCATTTCTTTTTCTTCTTCCTCCTCCTCTTCTTTCTCCTCCCCCTCTTCCTTCTCCTCTTCTTCTTTCTTATCTTCTTCCTCCTCCTCCTCCTCTTCTTCTTCCTCCTCTTCCTCCTCCTCCTCATTTTATGGTTACTTAGATAGTACTGATCTATGAAGTGGATCTTAAAGAAAGTGTAAGTGCCAACTAATTTTTGTTAGATCCATGATATGTTTCCTTGATGAGCTTGAGCTACTGTTTGTCCTGACAGCTAAGGGCTGCAAATGGAAGAAGGCTATGTTGTACCTTATATTCTCAGTCTTTGTGTCCTTCTGACCACACTGTGGCAGTGGCGGCCTGGGAGGCCCTTGTCTAGATATTGCCCATGGCAGTGGACCACACTGCAGTGACCTCCTATGTGCACTCTTCCTGTGTGCCCCTGTCCTGGGGCTCTGTAAGCAAGTAAGAAGTGGGTCCTCGAGTTTCTCAAACCCTTCATCCTTCCCTCCTGTGCTCTTCGTCTATTTCACTGTGTTCTTAGAGTTTCTGAACCTGTGACGTGTAGAAACATGGCAGCCTAGGAGCAGATGCCATCCTTCCACCTGTGCCCTCTTCCAGGCTGCAGGGCTCAACATCCAAATTTTCCATGATCTAAAAATGATACTATTGTAACAGGTGTGGAAATTTCCCTTTCAGTTTGTCTAGTGATGCACCTGTTTCCTATTTTCTGTGTTCCTTTCCTGTCCTTGGTGTGATAAATACAACCAAGAGCTGATGTTTGTGGTTGAGCGTGAATTGTATACTGTTGATGCTTTATGCAGGTTATCTCACTTAATCCTTGCAGTATTCCTGAGAGGCAGGTGCTGTCATTTGTGTCCCAGATGAGGAGAAGGAAGCTCACAGAGCCAGTGAGCTAGTAGCCCTTACCCTAAGGTGTGGCCCAGTGAGCCGGACTGTAGAACCATGTTAAGTATATGACACCAGAGCAGAATGTCTTATTTTATGCGTCTTATTTTCCATTGATCATTACATTAGATCGCATCCTCAGGAGTGGGGAGATTGGGTTAGAGGAGGGGGGTCTTGGCTGGCCAAACTGTAACCCTTTTTTCCCCTTCTTCTGCCACAGCGCCTGCCTCCAGCACCCTGAATATGCCAGCAAAATGTCCTTACCAGGTTGGTGACAGCTGCCTGAAGGTGAACCGTGTGGTCCTGCTGAGACGGCTGAGTGTCTGAAGACATCCTTAAGACAGCCATTTTCATCTCTCTACTAGCTGTCTTTGGTGTTGGGTCTCTGGTTCTTGAGAAAACATTAGGCAAGGTGATATAGGGCCAGCAAGTTGGTTCCTAGGATCCTCAGAAGGTCTGGCCATGTGTGGATTGTTGGCATTTCTACCCCAACACTGATGTAATTTGACCCCAGTGTCAGTATAGAATGGCTCACTGCAGTCTCATGATGAGGACAGGAAGAAGTGGGCTGTCGACTGCCAGCCTTTAGCTGCTCTAAGATGTGGGGAACAGTGGTTGTCATGTGCTATCTGGCCCCTTCCTCTTCCTCACAGTGTTTTGTGCGGTTGCCTGTACTAGAAAGCCTGTAGGTCCAAAAAGACTTACGGTGAGGGGTGGAGCATCAGAGGAAGTAGTAGGCAAGACATACCCAAGGACCCTGTGTTGCTGACAGCTTGGGCTTGGGGCTCTGCGTTCGTGACACTTGAGGGCCTAAGAATAGCTAGAGAAATGGAATTTACCAAGTCAGAGGGAAAGCCTGAATCCCTGAGAGTCCTGCCTGGTGATGAAGCAATTGACCAGCTACCATCCTATCTCTGCTGTTCTAGGAAGCCTGGGCCAGTAGGACAGGGAAGGCTGTGCTTCAGAGTTTGTTTCCTTTCCTTAGAACTTTGTCTTTCTGCTTAGAAGTAGGAAGGTTGTTGACTACTGTGTGAGGCTCTGGGACCAGCCTGAGCCTTGCAGACCATGGTCCTGGTGATGTGGACATTGAAGATTGAACAGAGCCTCTCATTTCCTATGACACTGTGCAGATGGAGCTTGGAGTTCAGCTCTGAACATGTGTTCCAGGGCAGGCTCCTTTCCCTTTCACACTTAGAAAGTTTCTGTCAAGATGAGAAATAAAGCAACTCAAGTGTGATTTTGTTCACGGGCTGTATACAGCTACACCAAAGCCCTCTCACTGTAATCTGAGTGGACACAGTGTTGAGGAGCCTCAGGCAGGTCAGAGATGTGTGATAGGAGTGGAGAGGTCTCCAGACTCTACACCTCACCTTGGCTGTGGAGCTGTATTCTGAAATTCAGAAGGCATTCAGAGAATTTAAGAAGGTATGAATTCTGGATGAGGTGCCTAGTGCTGGGGCCTTGATAGCATCATAGGTCAGAGCATATAACCACCAAAAGAGAGGATAAGACTCGGGGGCTCTGAAACGTTTAGGGATCATTTAAGTTGGCAGAGGACCCTCAACAACCCTTTGTGACTTAGGAGAACAGCTTGAACACCACTGGAGGGGCTGCTCCTGAGCCATGCTGCCCTGTGTTCTGGAACCAAAGAAAACTTGTATCCTGTTTGGTGGTTAATCTGTGTGCATCCCATGGGTGACTTCTGAGGCATGGCTTACATACCTTGAAGAACTGCAAAACTGAGGAGGGGGAGCTGCAGCACACTGATTGTCACCTTTGTGGGACTGACCAACAAGGAAGTGGCCGGAGTCTGTAGACCACAGTCCGCAGGTCCCATCTCAAACCACACCAATTGGAATGTGGAGAGACACTTCACCCCACCCACCTCGTGGCAGACTTGAGGATGTAGCCTCAGAGGGTAGTACTCTTATGAGTATGTGGAAGGGTCAGGAAGGCGTTACGTTCTCTCTCGGGCAACAGAGGGCTTGTAAATGCCCTGAGGAAGGCGTATGTCACTGAGGAGCTGTATCCTATAATAATTGGGGTTGGATGAATTCATAGAAGTGAGCCAGAGCGATGGTTCTGATCTTATGTTAGCAAAAAAGAATAAAACACAAAACACTGAACTTTGCGTTGCTTCAGCTTGTTTTCATTTGGTTTCGCATGCTTTGGGAATTGCCTGTGCCATGGATACAGACTTTAGATGGAGGGATGGTGCCTGAGGTCACCTTGCTGCCATCCTGGGCTGTGAGGCCTGGGCACTGTAATTCTTAAGAAAGATGAAAAACAGAACAGGTTTCATGTACTCTAAGCAGGCCTAAGATTCACTGTGCAGCTGAACTGGCTTTAACTCCTAGTTCTGCTTCTGCCTCCTGAGCGATGGGACTACAGGCTTTTACTTCCATACCCAGCTTTCACTCCCTTTATAGGTGAGGAAAAGGTTCTGGCTGATGTCCAGGGTTCTGAGGTGGAAGACCAGAAATGGAGACTATGTGGCCCTTTTCAGTTTTCCCATCAGGTAAGAGTGTTGATGTTGCTTGAGTAGAGCTCTCACTGGGTCCATTGCAGGGATCTCTCCATGTTTGCCCTAACATATGTTTGCAAATTTGCCCCTTTGACTCTGTGATAAGGACTTAGAGGTAGATACGTGAATTCTAACCTTCTACTTGCATCTCTGTAGCAAGAGGGACCTCCCCCACCACTTTGATCCTTAGGTTCTTCTGATCTTCCATCTCGGAACCCAGATCAGATAGCCCACAGCTCTTCCTATAAAGGGAGAGACAACTGAGTGTGACAGTAAATACCTGTAACCCCAACATTCAGGAGGCAGAAGCAATGGTCAGCTTAGCTACACAGAGAATGAGGCCTGCCTTGGCATTGGATCTCTCTGGTGGAGACTGTAGGCTCTAGTAGACACTTGGCATGTTAAACTGTCTTCAGTAGAGCCAGCTCTTTTCCTTCACTGTTACTCCCTAGGGTCCCTGAATCCACTGCTGAGTCAGATGGAAGATGGAACAAGTCTTTGTTCCCTTTCATCTTTTCTAAGCATGTGTTTTAGGACTGGTAGTTGGAATAGGCAGGAACTTGTTGACTCCCATAAGTGGGTACTCCTCACCTCCCGGCTCCTTGTTTTGAGAAGGTTCTTGCTCAGCCCATGCTGGCATGGAACTCACTCACGTTGCTTCCTGCCTTGTATATGCTCTTAACTGCTGAGCTGTCTCTCTAGCCCCTCAGAATTAGATTCCCCCCCCCTATTGTCATAAGACTGTCCAGAACAGACTCCTTAATGGATCCCCATCTCTCAGTTCAAAATCCGAAGACACAGCTCCATTGACCTGAGCCCATTTAGGGGCTGGTTCTTACCCCGCCCAGTCACCTAAGCCACTTTTACTGCCTTTGTAAAAGAAGAAACAAGGAATGTGAACTACTGAGCTGTGTGTGCTTTAAGAGTGGTGGTGTAGGGCTTGTGTACCCTCATTAGCTTTCCCCCAGGGCTTGCATTTCACCTAACTAGTACACCAAAATGGGAAAACTGAGGGCTGGAGAGATGACAGGGTAAAAGTGCTAGTTCACTAGCCAGGTGACCCAAGTTTGCTTCCCCAGAGCCCACATAAAAAGCTGGACTGGTTACATAGACACCTCAGCACTCCTACAGGAAGATAGAAGGTGGAAACAGAGTGCCTGTAAGCTTGTAGGCTAGCTAGCTAGCCTAAGTTTACAGCATAACCGCAGAGACAAGAGACCCTACCTCAACAAGATTGGAGGCATGAACTGACTCCCTTAACTGTCCTCTGACCTCCGCTGTGCCATGACTTATAGTGCACATACAGGTTTTTTATTTTGATGAGTGAATGTTGGTTCATTATGTGTGTGGCTCTCTGACACCATGTTCTTGCAATCACAGTCAAGACCTAACCATTCTCTCCATACAGAGATCTTGTCCTAGCCCTTGATAATCACCGTCCATCGTACCCCATAGCAAGCACTAATCCCTTCTGCTCTCTAAATAGAATAATATATAAATAGAACTGTACAGTACATGACCTTTGAGATTGTCTTTTCCCCCCTCAGTGTGATTCTTTTGATGTCTGTCCAAGTCTTGTGACGGTTTAATGTAGCTCATTTCTTTCATTGCTGAGGAGTGTCCATAGTGCAGGTGTACCACCCACAGCATAAGCTTCAGCCTGCTGACGGACCCTCTGTTTTAGTTTGCGACCAGAGCATGCATTTTATGATTGATCATTGAAATCTTCAAGATTAACTGGATGCTGCAGCAGCCGTCCTCTTGGAGTCATCTGCTGTGCCTTCATGGAGTTCATGTCCAAATGAGATGCCTAATCTCTCCCAGTGTCCTGCTTCTTAGCTTTGACACACCATTTACACTTCTTGAGACACTCTGGGAACACACTGTCAGCATGTTATTCCCATGCTTTCTATAACAGGACATTGTGTAACAGGACATGGTCTTGCTTCTGCCTTTGGGGCCAGGCCAGAGAACGTGATGCCTTTAGCTGCAGTAGGTGATTGTATGCAAGTTTTTAGGTGGACGTTTGCTTTCACTTCTCAGGGATAAATGTCCAGGAGTATGCCTACTGGGTCCTATGGTAACGTTTTAGTTTTATAAGAAACTGTCTTAGCTGATGTCTAGGGTAGCAGTGGCATTTTACACGCCCAGCAGCAGCATGTGAAGCACCTGCCATATAGTATCCTCACAACCACGCAATGTCTCTTGTCAGTCTTAACAGCATGCGGACAATGGCTCATTCAGTCTTACGTATTTATTGAGAGTTGCTTCTGGTCTGGGATGTGGTCTGATGCTGTTAGGTTCTCTAGTGGTCAGTAAGATTCTGTTCACAGTCATATTCTTGAGTACCCGGTGGTAGTCAGGAGTGTTGTTCTGTCAGGGTAGTGTTGAACTCACTAACTACAGTCTCTTCCGCTCTGTACATTTACTCACAGCCTTTACATTTCTGGGATTTGGTACAAACACACTTGGGAGCCCCCCCCCCCACCTCCCGTTGACCTATTTATCATTATGTAAGGTTTCTGTGTGTTGCTGTTGCCTTTTGTCCCAAAGTCTATCTTAGTTTCTCTTTTTCTGGCTTGTGTCTCTCTCAGCCCCCATGCCCTTTTCTTGAGACAGAGCCCAGGTACACACCGAGGTGCACTCACCCCTCTCTGTTTAAATTTACCGATATGATTATATGAGACATGGACCGACTGCATTCAGCATGTGATTTTCCCACTGACGATCTTTCAATTGCTGGCTGCAGACTATTCCCATTACATATAATTACAGATATGTCAGGGCTCTCGTCTGACCTTTAGTTCCTGTTTTCTGTTGTGTTGTTTGTTTTCTTTTCTCCTGCCGTTGTGTGTTGCTTGAACTTTTTTTTTTTTAATGAATGCAGTTTTGATTGGCCTGTAGTGTCTTTAATTGTATCTCCTTAGACTGCCTTTTTGATGTGTGCTCTGAGGTGTTACATCATATGACCTGACTTGCTTTATGGTGCTGAAAGCCCAGCCAAGGCTTCCTACCACAGCCCTGTACCATACCACACTCTACTCAGACTCCATACTGGGCCTCTCCTCCCACTTCCAGTACAGATAACTGAACTTTCAGAGCCTCGCCAGGCAGGACTTGGAGTTTTTATTCAGAGATAATTTGGAGCAAAAAAGTGTTGTGGTTATTCATTTTTCACCCACTCTCTTGCTCTTTCCTGATGATGCTCTGGGACACCGTTATTGTTTCTCTTCTGTTCAGAGAGCTTCATTTAGCTGTGCTTCTAAAAGTCAACCAGCAACAAATTCTTCAACATCCTTTGTCTGAGTGAAAATTCTGGAAATATGTTGTTCCTAGAAGAAGTGCCTGAAGCAGAATACAAGTAGCCAAAGTGATAATTTGTATCTAGCTGGCGTACATACAAGCCCAAACTCTCTAGTTACTTTTGGAAGGCTGGTGCAAATTTTGATTTTTGAGATAGGTCTCTCTGTGTTGTCCCCTGGCTTTGTATGCCATCATGCCTACTATGAATTCATTTTGATTTTGACAGTTTCTCATCTTCTTGTGTCATGTTGATGTTGGTTGGCGTCTATTAGCTGTCCTCTTGTTCATGCTGAGAATTTTGGTTTTGAATGAAACTTCTGAAACCCTAGGTCTGGTTTATACATTGTATCTCCTCAGTCTTTGACTCTGCCTGGAAGGTGAAAAGAGATTTCGGACTGCCCAGGGCGTTGGAGGTCTAGTACTGATGCCTGGCTTTCCTGGACTCTCAGATGAGGTGGAGACTCCTCTTTACTCCTGGTGCAGGAGGAATTTTTGGCTCCCCACTAAGACTGCAGATGCCAGCCTGCCGGGAATAGGAGAGTTGTCTTGGTTGTTCTCACACTGTCCCACTAACACAATGAGGAGTTGTGTGGCCTTGTTTCCTCTGGACTTGGGCAGATCCCCTTCATCCTCCGCCTTCACTGACATCACTGCACCTGGAACAAGTGTGCAGTGCTGTAGCCAGTTCTCAGGTGTATGTCCAGGCTGACCACAGTGGGGGTGACAACTGGAGCCTTGATTTTTGTCTGTAGTTTTCATTGGAAGTTTTGGGTTTCATCTTGTCCTTAACAACTAGACATTAAGGAGACAGTCATCTCAAGAAAAGGCAGCACGTGGACAACAAAATTCTCTGAAATGACCAAAACTAGATGAATGATGAATACATCTAAGGAGTTAAATATTATATAAAAGATACGGATAGTAGCATGTACCTATACTGCTAGCATTCAGGCAGCAGCATCCCAAATTCAAAGCCATAGTAAGACCCTGACACAAAATTTACAAAACGGCTGAGGGTGTAGGCTAATGTTAAAGAGCCTGTATGGCATGCCCAAAGCTTTAAATTCAATCTCTAAGGCCCCTCCCCTCAAAAGAAGTTACAACCAAGCAAACAGCTTTAAAACTAATAAATTTTAACCAGTAATACTGTACTGCTTTTAACAGGCAGAACATTGCCACATCTCTGGTAAGTAGAGTTTTACCAGAAGCCACCAGCACTACTGATGGCTCTTTGTATCTTCACCCACAACGTATAGTTGCTGAACAGTTGATGTCGTTAGCGCTGTACTCAGAAGTGTC